CAATCCATCCCCTGTTAAATTTTATTACTGAATGTGTAAAATTTCTACCATATATTAACAGTAATGGTAATATTATTGCCCTTTCAATATTTGGCAGGCTGTGGGCTTACGAGTAGCCTGAGCAAAATAAATCAAATCAAAGAAGTGTCCTTTCATGGCTATGAAGCTGATCCCAGTGGGAAATTAGTCGCTAACTATGAAGGGGCAGTGATAGCCATGCCAGTCCAGGGACTGACTGCAGTTCTATTGTAAGGTGTCTTGGTCAAGGTAAATGACCGGCGTACCTGACATGTAATAACCAGACCATGCATAGTGCTTTAATTTAATAGACTATATCAATTAGGCTATGCATGCTTCCAAAAAGAATTCCACCATCTGCCTTCTTTTTTTACTACTAGACTACGGCCTACAAGCTTGCTAAAAGTTACTGCTTTTCTCTCTCATCATGTAGGGCAGTTGGTCCTCGAGGACCGCTGTCCTGCAGGTTTTAGAGGTTTCTCTGCTTTAGCACAGCTGATTCTGATGATTGCTGTTCAGCAAAAGCCTGTTAATCAGCTATCAATGAAAATCAGCTGTGCTGGAGCAACTCCAGGACCGACTTTGCCTGATGTAGGGTAAAAACACCATGAGACAGAAATACTTGTGAAAAATCAGTTTTCTATTAAATTAACAAGATAATTTCTACAAAAAATAAATAAAAAGCAATTTTCTCAATCAACAAGATAATTATTATTAAAAAAAATATTTATTTTTGTAAAAAATAATCTTAATTCCAAAAAAAACAAACAGACAAAACTGTCTTTTTCTTAGTTGAATTTAACACCCTTTTGTAATGTTCAGCTTTGTTGCTATAAATGCTGTAAATCTGAATGCCATTTTTTTTTTTTTTTTTTTTTTTTGAGTAACTTAAAACCATGGGAACACGTCGACCATGTTTTATGGGTAAAGTCAATAAATAGTTGAGAATAAAGTTTAAGAAAATCAGAATTCTCTCTCATCTTCCCTTCCATGTCCTTTGTATACGATTTAACTCCCTAAATCATGTAATCAATATACAAGTCTGCCTTACATACAGTCACAACAGTCATAACTGTATGGTTATGAAAGCAAAGCTGTTGGGCTATCAGCTAGACCTGGGACATCTATTCCTGAAGCTATATTGGCAAAACAGAACACACACAAACACACCGACACACACAAAAACTAAATGCATCTTCCAACGGAGTGGAACGATTACAATTTCTTCTTTGCTCTTCCCCTTGTTTTCCTTCCAAGTCCAACAAGTTTATCTATGATGTATAAATCTATTCTGGATCCAAACACTCTTGCCGTACTGCTGGCTGTATTTCCTGATAAACTATTTCATTTCATACTTCCTCCCCGGGGGCAGACAGATTCTCATCTGTTTGTCTTGCTGGCTCCCATCTCATTGGTCGACAGGAAATACCAAATTCTGTCCTCTGTTTTTGCTCAGGAACCAGCATTGTTTCCCCCACTATTTTATAAGCCCTTACACCACCAGATTCTACCTGGCTCATCTGCATACAACTTGTTATTAAACGGGTATTAGCCAGGGCTGAAACAATCTGATTAATTTGGATTAATGAATTATTGAAATAATTGTCAACTAATTTAGTTATTGATTAATTCCTTACTGGAGTATAGAGACTGTAAAACATGCCTTTAGCTGACAGAGCAACCCACTTAAACCCTGAACACACCGAATCCAAATTTCATTGGTCTTGCAGGAAGAGAGGTACGGTTAAAAAGTAAAACACATCCGCTTTTGGGGAAATGCAATAAAATCTGTCAATTACACAGGAAAACAGTCGCACAGTGAATATATAGCAGGCGGGACAGACTCTTGCAAAAACAATCAATGAAACATTAAAAAATAATACGTCTCCCATGATAGGAGCTCAGATGGACACAAAAATGGCTAAAGTTATGATCCTCTTTAAGCCCCAGAAAAACAATGAGACAGGTGAAAACACAGCTTATTACTCTCCTTGAGGAAAATACATTTTGACAAACTTCAGGATACGGTAAATTAACCATCCTCTTTGACAAAAAAGACACAAAGTGCAGGTAACCTCATCGTTCTCCCCTCTTTATAAAAAGAAAAAGAAAAACAGAAACATATATAAACTTCACAGATCTCTCTCTAAGAGTCACCTCACTGCCTCAGTCGGCATATAAACGAAACCCGGTGGTTTCGTCGTACAGTGTGAGCTGTACCTGCGTGCAACGATTGAAATAATTGCACAGTGTATGCCCGGCTTAAGTGGGGTTTTCTTTACAGCTGCGCCAGTGTTTTCTATTTATTTATTTTTAATAACGTTTCCTAATCTGTCCAAATCAAATGTGGGGAAACTGTTTTAATTTGTGTGGCACAGACAGAAGTAAAAAAAAAACAAAAAAAAACTATCTGAACAGATCTGCTCACACGGCCTAGCGGGAGCCTCTGTATCCGCAGTCAGTGTGGCATGGAAAAAAATCGGATAGGAGATTAAAAATTCCTACGCAAAAGGTGTTTTCAGTCCTTTAGAGAAGTAATTATATCAAAATTGTGAAGAAAAAAAAATATATTTTGCATTTAAGATAAAAAAAATAATAATTTTTGACTGTTAATATGCTCTATCCAGATCTCCTCAAGTGTCAAAATCTTTAAGGATCCTTTTGCTATCCAATTATTAATTGATTAATCAAAAATATAATTGACCAATTTATCGATTAGGAAAAATAATTAGTTGTAGCCCTAGTTTCAGCTTCATCTCCTCTATATAAATCACAAACAGATGAGGGCCTATTTGATACCTGGGCATCATTACAGTTGGGGAGCGGTTTATACCAAAGCCATGTGTTTGCCCAAAAGCTGAAAATGTATACGCTATAAATATTTAAGACATCTCAGATCACACCCAACCACAGAGAAAATAAATCACACTTGTCTCCACCTCATTTTCAGTCCTCTAAACGGCAACATTCAGCAGTAACTTTCCATGCAATGCACCATGAATTTCAGTGTTTTTCTAAATGAGCCAGCTTATGGTTACTAATGAAAACTGAGGAAAAGAGCAAAAAGTTTTTTTTTAGCTGAGACTGAAATAGATGAGAGGAGGAGTTGGGGAAATAGGTTTGGTAGCCGCAATAGAGGCTTAATAAATAAAATAAGCTTTTTATAAATGCTTTCAGATAGATGGACAGATCGCCTAAACATAAATAAATACTTTATACATTCCTCTCATTTTGAAATGTATATCAAATGTTATCCTTTATGGTATGCTACAGGTACAATGCTGGTTTATGTTTTTAGAACTGTTCACCCAGCTACAATTACCTTCATTTCTATGTCAGATTGAAACCAATCTGTTGTTCAACACCTGGGATTAATTGTGTTGGCAATGCCCGACAAGTCTACTCAGTACTGGACTCTGTTGGCACACAGATTAAAGGTGATGCTGTAGGGCACGGGTGTCAAACTGGTTCCACAAAGGGCCACGTGGCTGCGGGCTTTCTTTCCACCAAGCAAAAGCACACCAGACTCCAGTCATCTCATCAAGTGAGTCCAATCTGAACATGATTACTTGATGAGATGACTGGAGTCTGGTGTGCTGTTGCTTGGTTGGAAAGAAATCCTGCTGCTAAGACAATCCTGCTGTTGGGAGTTAACCCTTTAACTGCCTTGTCAACCCACAGTTTATTAGTAAGTAGTCAATTATGTGTTTGAGCAGGACGAAGGGTTAAAGTAGCTCATTATCACAGTAAAACCATTTTCTTATCTCCTTTCAGGCCTTGGACATCACTTCTATGGGGAGGACCTTCCTTCTGACCATGAGAGGAGCTTCAGTCCAGACCAGGAAACACCAGAAACTACGCAGGGGACCAGAGAGCTGGAGGCAGTCGTCACCAATGAGGATAAGGAGCTTGTCCTGAAGCAGGAGACTGATGCCATTAAGGTGACTGTTGATTATGACGAAAGAGAACAGAGCAAACCAGAACCAAGCAGCCACTGGCTCCTCTCCCAGAGCCATACTGAAAACAAAGAGGGAAGACGTAACAACGTTTTGAATCCAAAGAAAACAGCAGAGGAGACTAGAAATCGAAGTGACAGATCAGACCTTCTGTATCCGTGTCCCATTTGTGGAAAATGTTTTGCAAAGAGCAATTACTTAACCAAACACAAGAGGATTCACACCAGCGAGAAACGATTTGTCTGTGATCAGTGCGGGAAAGCTTTCAGCAACACCAGTTATTTAGCTAATCACAAGAAAACCCACAGCGGCATGAAGCCTTTTGCCTGCCTCATCTGTGGGAGAGTGTTCACTCAGCAAATCCACATGACTGACCACATGAGGATCCACACAGGGGAGAAACCCTTCCCCTGCTCCACATGTGGGAAATACTTCAGGCAAAAAAGCAGCTTAAATAAACACATGAAAACTCAGCATAAGAAACTGCAGCCATAATCTCGATTAGAAGCAGCTCAATACAGCCTGTACCTGAATCCCAAGCCGTGTTTCAGACTCAGAAACAATTAGCTCTACCCAGTTCCAAGCTACAGGGAGGACTCTTAAAGTTTTCTGGAGTCGGAAGGAGCATCAAGAACAGATAAAGTGGAACAAAGAAAGGTTCCTGTTTTTTCCCTGACTCTAACTTTCACAACAGAATTGGTTCTGCTCCAAAAACATTTCCTGCTTCAGTGGGAGAACCAGCTACGCCAGCACAGAGAAAGCCTGCAGTGTTGGATCCCAGATATCTCCATTGCTGTTGACCCATTCCAGGGAGTAAAATATGGCTGAAGCTGTTTTTAAATGCAAGCCCAATGTTGTGATAAAGCATTGTTGGTTCAGAAAACCCAGCTTTGATTTGTTATAATTACTGAAATATAAATTTCTATAGTATAAATATCTCTGAAGAACATTGAAAAGACTAATTAATAAAGAAATATGTTTTTAGTAAAGGTGCCAGCAGCTGCGCTGCAATGTTGTATATCTATGTATATATAAAAAAGACCTAAATGAATATGTATTCTTTACCAGTTCAGAAACAGAATAATCTGATATGAAGGATGCATTCAGGGAGCAGCAGATCCTTTCAATAATGTATCTATGTGTTTTTATTGAATCTTTATGTAAATCGGAGGATCCTACTTCCTGAAAGAATTTTTAAAATAAAATTTTCTTTAATTGAGTCAGTGTCTGCATAAGAGTCTAAATATGAACCAAAGTCCAGAGTATCTTCTGATTACCGTTTATTAGATTTTCATCTCCGTTCCTTGGGTCTTCTCCTGCCACTAGAGGGTGCTAATGCTGTTGTAGGTGAGACGTATCATGTTCACTTCCTGTTTTGACTGCTTAGCAGCGTGTTGTTCACACTATCTCCATCTAAATTAAGTTATTTTTTATGTGATATCTCTGTATCTCAGTAACTAACTCTCCAGAACCACTTTAAAACATAGCATCTTCTGCTGCAATTCCCTACTGAGCACTTGTCAGTTTCACACAATTTTATTTCTGGTAGTAAGGAGTAGCTAGCCCAGGCTGGTGCTAGCTTAGCATCGCTATGGCTTCTCTTTCTCCCTCCCTTGACTGTTCTCCTGCTCTCTGTGTCAGATGTTCAGTTATTCCTCTGCCTCCTTTAGTGATAATGGTATTTGTAATCAGTGTAGTATTTTTTGTAGCTTTGGAGGTGAGGGTGTCAGAGTTAGAACTCAGGCTTCAGGCTGTTGAACATCCAGTAGTTAAGTTAGGCCCCCCACGTAGTAGTCCTCCAAAAGTGCCTGAGCAGCCACACGATTGGGTAACTACGCAGAAAGCGTAGTCGTGGATCTCTGCCCACTGGTCACCACAACCCTTTTATGTTTTTAACCGATTTTCCCCGCTCAATTTGTATTTGAGATCCAGTTCAAACCGAGTTAATTAAGGTAATGTTCCTTCTTATTTTCTCTGCCATTTTAGATGTGATTAATCTATCCCTGTTACAGGGGTAAATACCTCAGGTTGGACTACAGAATTACAGTAAAGGTAAATTACCTTACAGTTTGTGTTTGACACCACAAGTAAGTCTAGTCTAGTTAATATTATACAAATTTAGTTTAAATTTCTCCTATCAGCCTTTTATTCGCTTCCTGTTTAATCCAGAATACAATTTAAAATTGTCCTTCTCACACATAAAGCCCTAAATAACCAAGCTCAGTGATTTAATTATTCCTTATGTTCCTAACAGCACTTTGCTCTCAATCTGCATTTTCACTAGTGGTTTTTAGAATTTCTAAATGTTGAACAGGAGGCAGATCTTGGTTATCAGGCTCCTCTCCTGTGGAACCAAATATTAGTTTTACTTTGTGAAGCAGACACCCTCTCTGCTTTTAAGGCAAGGCTCAAAACTTTCCTTTTGTTAGAGTTGCCTGATCGGTGAGCCCCAGGGCAAATGTGTCTACAGTGTAGCTTGCCAGTGTCAGTGTGTGAGTGTGCGTGAATGGATGAATTACTGTATGGCAAAGCGCTTTGTTCAGAAGTGCTATATAAGTACCACTTCTTTACCACTTCTTAATAATAGACATGTATGCTTCTCCTTCAGTTAGCGATAGTTTTCCCTACTGATACTACACTGCAAGGTATAATATAATGTGTTCTTACTCAAATGTAAAATGTTTTGTTGTATATATAACATCCATCCATCCATTTTTCGTCACACTTATCCCAAGCGGGGTCGCCTATCTCCAGCTGTCTACAGGCGAGAGGCGGGATACAACCTAGACAGGTAGCCACTCCGTCACAGGGCAACACAAATGGATACACACACTCACACCTAAGGAGAATTTAGAGAAAGAAGCCTATTAACCTAAAAGTCATGTTTTTGGACTGTGGGAGGAAGCTGGGGTACCCAGAGAAAACCCACACATGCTCAGGGAGAACATGCAAACCCCCATATATATATATATATATATATATATATATATATATATATATATATACACAGCGTATATAAAACAGATTAATATGAACACAAAAAATGTGTCCAAATTCCGGCTGAGTTGAGTTAAAGACAGCCCAAGAATTTTATTAGCAGTATTTCATATATTATTTAGAACAAAAAAAGGCAGATAAGATAGAAAATAAGGCAACATTAAATCATGTTAACTTTATAGTTGAGTTAATCAGAGGCTAGAAGTATAATTCAACAAATGTTGAAGGAGGAATGAACAAAAGGTGGGATGTAAACAGTAAGGAACATGGATTTGTAGGATCAAAAATGCAGAAAGGAGGACAGATTAATCAGATTGTGATTTTAACATATAGCCCTCAATTCTATACTGTTTAAAATACAAAATTATACTACAGGGATGGGTTAATACTGTGGAGAGTTAAAACTTTGGAGAGTAGGACTAGGTGGAACATGTTATACACAGATGTGAATAAAGTTATGAAATAATTTAGTCACCAGCTGGTGGCGGTAACGCGCACCATAAAGTCTCAACATTAGAACGAAGGAAAGCGGAAGTGGGAAGCTTAGTAATGAGCTGCAGCGCTAGCAGAGACCAGTTAGCTCCGGGTTGGAACACCAGGACAGAAACGGACAGTAGAGGGTTTTAGGTGAAGAACTGCTGACGCAGAGTTCGGCTGCTGCCTCCGGATAAAGAGGCTCATTTCCCCTCATTAACGTCTAGGAGCCGCTGTGGACACAGAGACAGAGGGACAGACAGGGATCCGCTCGGTGAGTAACTGCTGCACACTCGGTCCCTCAGCGGCATCATGTCCGCAGACTGCGCTCTGATGACATTCATGTAGATGAACTTAAGCAGCTGACTCTGATCTGGTGGGTTCTGAGCCCTGCTCCAAAACTCGGAAATTAGGAAATGGCGAAGGGGGGAGGGTATGACCAGCATCTTTTACTGACTGCTTGATTCCAGCTGCGGCTCTATAAGGTGTGCTACGGTATCAGGTGATCTCAGCCTGGCTGATGGAGATATTCTGGTCCAATCTCACCTGCTGTCCTCATAAAGGCTTTATTTCTATCCTGGCCAGTGGCGTAACGACACAACAATAGGCCCGTAAGCAACACTATCTGGGTGGGCCCAAGTACAACACTTTGAAAGAACAAGTTTATTTTGGGAAGTTTTTTTTCCCTTCTTCCAGCAGCTCTTCTTTCCTTTTTTCTTTTCTGAAATCCGCTTAATTACATCTTTTTGGTATCAATCGTCACTAACACATTGTATGTAATGGTTGTGGTTTTAGTCTACAATCTAGATTAACCATAATTCCAAGTTGTATTGTAAAAAAAAAAAAAAAAATTACTCAAAATACTTTGTTCTTTTAAGAACAAAGTATTTGTTCTTTCTTTTGTTGTGGTTTGAAACATATGAGTGTATTTTTTTTTACCAACCGTCTAATGAATTATACACAGTAATCAACATATTAACAAAAATAGCACTGTCTGCTTTGCTATTGGTGTCGTGTTTAAACGGCTTACCATCATGTTGAAGCCATGTCAGAATAGGTTAAACTATAGTCTATTGTTTATTGTAATCTTCCACGGAGTATTAAGGCCAGGCTAGAGATTTTTTTAATTTTCAGAATAAAGTTGTAATATTACAAGAATAAAATTGTAATATTACAAGAATAAAGGAGTAAAATTACGAGAATGAAGTCATCATACCACAACTCGTTTCAGAAAGAAACCTTCAAGCTCCGACCAGCACCACCAATCAGCAACTTGAGTCCACTTTGACCTACTCCACAATTTAATGCTGATGTCCTAAAAGATTTCCTTAGTTGTGAAACCAGAGCCAAAGTATAACATGATGCTCGACATTCCTCATTTTAGGGAAGACAGTGCTTCTTGTAAGAGTTGTCATAAAATACGACTTTATTCTCCTAATTTTTTTAGTATTCTCCCTGTGGCTAAATGCTCTTATTTTACAACTTGACTCTCGCAATGTTACGACTTTATTCTCGAAATAAAAATCTCTAGCCTGTCCCTAATACTCCGTCATAGTGATGTGACAGACTCAGCAGAATGAAAATAATAATCAACTAAAAAGCCTTGAGTACAAAGAAGAAGAAATTGTTTATCTTAATTGTGCATATTTGTTTAGAACAAGCTTGTTTTCATTAGATGAAGTCAGTCACAGTGGATGGAGCCACCAGACATTTTACTTAAGTAAGAGTAGTGAAACTTTTTCACATTATTACTCATGTAAAAATAAAAAGCTACAATGCTGTAAAACTGCTCCTAAAAGTCCTTTTTTTAATGTTTCCCAACTAAATTTAATAGAGCTGTTTTTCTGATGGAAGAAGGGCAACAGGTCAGTGCCCATGTGGTGCTGCAGTAGTTAGCTCTGCTAGTATGAACAATTATTGCAGCCTTACATCAGTGGTCATGTTTATCAGCGTATCTATTTAGATTTATTTTACACATTTAAGTGAATAGAATGGATACAGCATTAAACAATTTGTATTTTATAAATATTTTTACATTTATTTTGGTGTCATATTGATAGATTTTATTATCTAAGCACTGTAAGAAAGCACAATCCTCAGGTTTATGTTTTTAGTAATGATAAAGTATAATCTCTCCCCTAGCCTTTATTTTAAATAAATTAGGTGTTTATTTGTCTAGTGAACCAGTAACGAGGTTACCCATACAAGATACCGTATTTTCACGACCATAAGGCGCACCGTACTAAAAGGCGCAGTCTTAGTTATGTGTGTCATTTCTATATTTAACACACACATAAGGCGCACCAGAGTATAGGGCGCAGGTTTTATATATCGGTACATATCCTCTACTACGTTTAAATACCTCTACTGCATATTTAACAATACAGCGGGAGCAAAACTGAGTATGATTGTGCTTTATTCATGTATTAATCAAACCCATGAAAGTCATCATCCTCTGTTTCTGGATTAAACAGCTGCGCTAAATCAGACATGCCAATTTCCCCTTCTTCGCTGTCAGTCACTTTCCGTGCCGGGCGGCTCCTCAGAAATAATGCCGGCTTTTGCGAAAGCTTGAACAACAGAGCCAGCAGACACGTTAGTCCAAGCATCTACAATCCATCCGCAAACTGTGGCGTAACTTGCCCGGCGCTGCCTTCCACTTATCGTGAAACTGTGGTCTCCGTCTGTCATCCATCGCTCCCACGCCGCTCGCAGCCTTACTTTGAACGGCCGGTTCACACCGATGTCGAGCGGTTGAAGTTCCTTTGTCAGACCCCCGGGATAACGGCGAGCACAGCGTTCATTTGTTTCACCTTGTTTTTCACATCGGCTGTGAGATGGGCACGCATGGAGTCACAGATTAACAGCGATGGTGATGCGTGGAAAAAAAACACCTGGTCTCCTTACATACACCTCCCTCAGCCACTCTTTCATCATCTCCTCATCCATCCAGCCCTTTTCATTTGCCTTAATAATGACTCCAGCTGAAAAAGTCTCTTTAGGCAAAGTCTTTCTCTTAAAAATCACCATAGGCGGCAGTTTCTGTCCATTTGCGTGGCAGCCAATCCACGCCCACACTTCCCCCTTTAACGTTCTCATGGTGGTCTCAAACGTCCGCAGTAACAACACACATAGGGCGCACCGCACTATAGGACGCGCCGCACATTTTGAGGGAAAAAAAAGACGTTTCTATGCGCCTTATAGTCATGAAAATACGGTAAATAGCATATATTTCTGTGAATCACCTATCACTTATTTTTTATGTATAAATCCAATTAATCAAATTTCATTATATCTATTCAATTCTTTTACATTCCCACTTATTGAGGCATGATAACGATCAAACCATCTTGCTGATGTAACAGACTTAATAACATTAACGCCTCTCAGTATCCATGATATGACGCCATTTTAGGACAGAAGAAAGTATACTTGTGTTCCACTATGAACTCTGTTTCTTTCTACAGCGTTATTATATGTTTAATAAGTAAGTAAGTAAAGTAAGTACTCAGACTTTGTTTCATAGTTGAATGTGTTCTGTCAACGAATGGCTATAAAGAAACAAAACATTTTGTTTCAAAACATACTATCAATGTCTAAATGAACAAAATACGACAGTCTTTTCTCACACTCAAACTCAGGCACATCAATATAATACATTCATTTCATGTTGGGTTGCTAAATGTAACAAAAATATAAAAAAACAACAAAACAAAACCTAAAAAACTCATGAAAAGTTAGAAAACATTTATAATGCCCCATGAAAAGAGAGCTCATAAAACTATTATTCAAAGACAGGGTTATAATTGAGTTAGCCTTTTTTAAATTAAAACAAACCATAGAAATATCTAAATTACCCCTGGGGATTAGAACTTTTCTGACAATTAAAACAGGCCCTCTACCTTTCAAACAGACATTCCTCTATTTATTCTTTACATTTGCTCTTCAAATAAACAAACCTAGACCCAAATATTTTAGTGTAAAAGAAAGCGCCATATGGAGCTCTTCAATCTTACATCATAACTACTTAAAGTGTGTTTTACACTTTTGTAATTAAATATTAAAAAATTAAACACTAATTCCATCTGGGCCATGTGTGTCTGTTGTAGGACAGGCTGTTTATGGATGTCCACCATAATGTTTCCCTGACAGCCATCACTGTCAAGTTCTGCTTATGGAGCAGTGGCGCCATCTGCTGGAAGTCAGCCCCAATATAACACAGAGGTCTGTCTAAACAGATGTTATCAGTCACTTTGGAACAACCATTAATAATTCCTGGCAAAATTATGAGAATCTCTTGTGTGACGAAGTGGAAGAGTTTCTGTCTTGCAATAATAAGATCTTATCCTTTCAATCATTGAAGGTTAATTATATCATGGTTGCTCTTAATAAGAATAAGAATGATGTGCAGAGTTTGGGGGAGGGTGAAATTGGCAAGGGTGTTGCAATATGATTGTCATTGTGATAATTGGGTCACGATACGGTATTATCACGATATTGCAATACCACGATAAAAATAAGATATTCTACCAAGTGTTTTTTTTTTTTTTTTTTTGACAGTCTTCTTAGATTTAGTCTTAGTTTTCATCTTCAGGACTTTAAAGTTTACATTTAAGTTAGAGTAAAGATAATTCTTCTGTGGTAGCTTAGCCTGACCAGCCAGACTGAATTACGCTCAGTGTAATTCAGTTTGCTAAACTTGCATTGACTGTGGCTAAGTCTGGGCGGAGCAATCGGAGTGCGAGGCAGGACTTAACGATGAGTCACTCTCAGCAACTTTTTCTGCTAGCAACAAGATGGCGACCGCAATGGAGCAATGTTTTAATGAGGCCCTTTTCGATGCTCTAAAAATAAAAACCTTAACAGGGGACATCTTCAGTGTTATTTCTTTTAATGGACTACAAAATTGCAAAATGGAGAGTGTTGCTTGTAGTTTTATTTATCGCATCCATCCTTATTGATTCTAATTTGATGACGCTGTCCCTGTTAGTCCCACCTTTAAAATCCAGATGTACCATTTCTCTGCCAGACTGACACATTGTCAGTCAATTTACCAAGTCACATCTGGTGTTATGTAAGATGTACTTGCTTGCTGTTTTGTCATGAACCATATATTCTGCTCAGAAGTGAAACTTAAACTTCTTGAAACCAAAAAGAAAGCAGGGGAACTACAACTAATTTCAACAAAGGATAATGATCATAAATCAGAATCTCACCATTTGATAAAGATTAAAGAGTACATCTGTCAAAATGAAAAACAGGTTTATTCAGTCAGAATTCATCTAGAGTCCCCAAATATATTTTTTCTATAATTACGTCTGCTATTAGGCTGTAGGTTTAATAATTTCTCAATGAAAGATGAACAGAGAACCCATTTTATTTTTAAAGATACAATTTCAATATGTTTTGTTTTTGTTTTTCTTTGTTTCAGATTTGCCTGAAAATGATTTCTAAGCAAGATGTTCTTGGTCACCATCCTATCATTAATGAAAATAAGAAGACTGATCTGGACCAGAAGGGAAGAGAATCTTTAAAGCCCAGAGGGAGAGAAGATTAATCTAAATGTACTCGAATGAATGAAGAAGAGTATGGATCAAAACTTCGGCCGATTGTAGAGAAAGAAGATGGCACTGAAGCAAGAGGCAGATACTGTAATTGGAACGGTTTGTGGATTTCTTGAAATAAAAGAAGAACCGGAAGAACTACAACTAAAAATAATATCAGTAGATGATGGTGAAGCAGAATCTAAGCAGATGGTAAAGATTGAGGCAGAGGGCATCACTCATGATGAAAAAGAGGACTTGCCAAAGCAAGAGATTGAAACTTTAAGAGTAACAGATTTTGGATCTCTTGAAATAAAAGAAGAACCAGAGGAACCTGAGGTGAACACAATGAAGGTTGATGTTGGGGCTGGAATTACACAAGGCATACTTGCTTCCTCTTTTATCAATCATAATGGGGTCTGTGTTCTGCACCACAGCAATGTTAAATCCCCTAAAAACAAAGAGGAACAAGAGGAGCTACAAATAAAGGATGATTGTCAACCAGATTCCCACCAAATGGTAAAGACTGAGGCCGATGTACTGAAGCAGGAGACAGACACCTTAATGGTAACCAGTTCTAGAGCTCTCAGATGGAAACTGGTTAAACTAGAGCCTGAACAAGTGCAAGGGTCAGGACAACAGCAGATGGCCACAGAAGATGCTGATTGCATCAGTCGTGATGAAAACCAGGATATACAGAAGCAGGAGATTGATACATTGTTTCTAACAGCTTCTTATGAAAAAGACCACTTGCATACAGAACTAAATGAAAACCAAATCATCCTTCAGAACTTTCCTAAAAAGGAGCATCATCAACAAAGAAGTAATGACGAAAACTCAGAATCCATCAGAGAAGAGAAACAAAACAGTGTTCAGGAAACCAGGAGTCAAAGTGACAGAAATAAAAGGCCTTTTGTATGTATAACATGTGGTAAATATTTCAGGTACAAAAGTGTTTTAAATGTCCACATGGGAACTCATAAATCTGAGAAGCCTTTCTCATGTGTAAGCTGTGGGAGACGTTTCACTCAAAAATGTAGTCTAAATGTCCACATGAGAATTCATACAGGAGAGAAGCCTTATTCATGCATAACCTGTGGAAAAGGTTTCAGTAGAAAAAGTTATCTAAAGATTCATATAAGAGCTCATACAGGAGAAAGGCCTTACACATGTTTGACCTGTAATAAAGGTTTCAAGAAAAAAAGTTATTTAAATATCCATATGAGACTTCATACAGGAGAGAAGCGTTTCTCATGTATAACCTGTGGAAAAGGGTTTAGAAGAAAAAATGATTTGAACATTCATATGAGAATTCATTCTGGAGAGAAACTTTTTGCATGCATGACCTGTGGAAAGTTGTACAAGAGAAAAAGTTCTTTGAATATTCATATGAGAATTCACACAGGAGAGAAGCCTTTCTTGTGTATGATCTGTGGAAAGGGGTTCATTAGAAAAGGGGAGTTGAATATTCACAAGAGTGCTCATACAGGGGAGAAGCCTTTTCCATGTAAGATTTGTGGGAAAAAATTCATTACAAAAAGCTCTTTAAATTTTCATATGGGAGCACATACAGGAGAAAAGCCTTTCTCATGTATAACCTGTGGAAAAGGGTTCAGGAGAAAGGGGGATTTGAATATTCATATGAGCACTCATACAGGAAAGAAGCCTTTTTCGTGCACAACATGTGGAAAAGGGTTTATTACAAAAAGTATTTTAAATACCCATATGAGAGCTCATACAGGAGAGAAACCTTTCTTGTGTGTAACCTGTGGAAAAGGGTTCAAGAGAACAAGTACTTTAAATATTCATATGAGAGTTCATTCAGGAGAGAAGCCTTACTCATGTATGACCTGTGGAAAAGGGTTCAAGAGAAAAAGTTCTTTAAATATTCATATGAGAGCTCATACAGGAGAGAAGCCATTCTCATGTATCACATGTGGAAAAGGATTCACTACAAAAGGTTCTTTGAATATTCATATGAGAGCTCATACTGGGGAGAAGCCATTCTCATGTATGACCTGTGGAAAAGGGTTTATTACAAAAAGTGCTGTAAATATTCATATGAGAGTTCATACAGGAGAGAAGCCTTACTCATGTATGACCTGTGGAAAGGGTTTCAAGAGAAAGGGTTCTTTAAATATTCACATAAAAATTCATGATTAAGAGGGGCCCTTTTTCTATATAAATAGAAAATGTTTTAATGAAAACCATAATTTGACTTGACACATAAGAAAGCATTTAAAAGAAAAAATGCATCTCATATTAAAATTGGGAAAAAATTTAGTTGCAAAAATATGACGACATGAGGGCTGGCACATTATCTGAGATCAATTTAATGGATGAAGTGACTGACTAATCAATTTCTTTTTTTTATCTGGTCCAAAGACTATAATTTTACAGTCATCCAGGTGTTATGTCTTCAAGACATGCCCATAGTCTCTGTAGTTAGTTAGTTTATTCATGGACAGATATAGCAGAGTATCATCAGCATTAAATTAATTCCATGCTGTGTGATGAATACCGATTGCTACCAGTGTTCATAATAACACTGTTTGAAGTGGAGAGTAAACCTCAAAATTCTTCAAATAAGTTCTATTTTAACACCATCACACTGGGAACAACACATTCTAATTCAAAGCAAGAAAAGTGGAAAAAGTAATTCAATTATTACATTTTATAGAAAGTAAAAAAAAAAAATATAGCAATTTTGGCATGTCTTTTTACATACTCAAAAATGTACAGTATAAACTAAGAAATGCTTGAAGATTCAACTTCCTAGAGAATCATTTACTAATATTTAATTAGACCTGAAATGTCAGTCATCAGTCCACAAATTATTGTACCATTTCCTTTTTAGAAATTGCAACTTGTTTAGCACAATAGTTTTTTAATAATGAGACTTTGTGGGGGCTTGTTGATGGTAGCTTGGGTTTTGCATAGACATCATCTGATTGTTACAGTATTCAAGGGGAAAATCTTAGGCTACGTTCACACTGCAGGCCTTGATGCTCAGTTCCGATTTTTTTTGTGTTGCCGTTCATATTTCCAAAATATATGCAACTTGTATGTGATTTCCTATGTGAACTGCAGTCATATAACGCAAGTAGAGGACACAATGACGTCACAGGCCTGTGTGCTCTATGTTTACGGAAGTAAACATGGATGGTAGTGCCGCATCTAGCGGTCTTTTCCAACCATAAAAACTCAATATTTTCACATGGTTAAACATAAATACTGCTCTCTGCATCATTATCTGCCATGGTTGTTGTTTTTCTTGCCGGCTCTGCGTAGCAAGACACAGAATAGTGAACTTTGTGGGGTATTAATGGCGTTCAGGTCGGATGAATCTGACCTGGTGTTTTAGTCTTTGGTTGCATTTGTAGAGATCAGATTCGTATCGGATTCAGGACCACATAGCCAAGTGGCCTGGGTCACATTGGAAAAAATCGGATCTGTGTTGTTCAGACTGCCATGAAAAGATCAGATCCAGGTCGCATGTGGGCAAAAAAAATCAGATTTGGTTTCACTTCAGGCTAGGGTGACCATATTTTCATTTGGGAAAACCAGGACACCTTGGAGCGCGGGGTGTGGGGGGGGGGATGCTACTTGTTACTAGTTGTTTTAATGGTTATAGAGTCAGATATGTGGCGGTAATGTTTGGTTTATCTAAAGGTTTTTATCTGTTACTGTGTAAATGGGTTTGGCTGGAATTTAAGGACAGATTCTAATAAATCTGCAGAGTGGGGACTATAAATCTGATAGGAGTTTAATTTTTTTATTGTTTTGCACAATATGCTTAACTAAGTATTTTTTTGTTGTTGAATATTAGAGATTTTGCAGATATATTTTGTAGATACATTGTTTAGATTTACTTATATATTTCTAACCCTTTTATAGAATAGAATAGAAAATCCCTTTATTGTCCCACAATGGGCAAATTTACAGCAGCAGAAAGATTATTGAAAATGGTCACACAAATGTGGACCTTAGAAAAATGTATAAGAATAACATAATAGGGAAGAGGTAAAATATAAAAAATAAAATTCTGTAAAGTGTTTTAACAATATAAAACTGGATAATTAATAACCAATATGCAGCTATGGACATTTTTACAGTAATGGATATTTGAAAATAGCAGCAACATCAGAGATGTGCAGAATGACAGCAGCAGGTTATTTAACTGACTAAGGTTTCTATCATTACATTTGATTTGATTTGTTCCTGCTCCCGGTGGTTGGAAACTTTATTCCACTTTGGATTCTTGTGAGTGTAGTCTTGGTTCACTTTAACTTTTTTTAAAATAAATAAATAAACAAACAGTTTTGAAAACCTCGGTTTTCATTCTTTTCCTGCTTTGTGTGTCAACTTTCACGGTTGCTAAGCAACAGAGCATACGGCGGTAAAACCCGCTGAAGGGTGGACCTGTTCGAATTTACAGCCAAAACTCTTCCGGCCTCCTTATCTTCAAGGACGTCGAAGGATCCAGTCTAGGTAGACCGCGTCCTTGGAGGATGCGTCCTAGGTTTTCGAACAGAGCCAGAGCCTCTGATTAAGAACAGGGCTGCCCGCACTGACGCGGCTCGGGGATTACATCACACGGAGCGTTGTGCGCAGTGAAATCAGGACATTTCCTCACTTTCTAAAAAAAACCCGGGACGCCCAGGACAGGACGTGAAATACGGATATGTCCCCGGAAATACGGACGTTTGGTCACCCTACTTCAGGCTGCAGTGTGAACGTAGCCTTAGATCTTCATTGATCCTTTTAAGTTTTTTGCTGTTGTTTAAAGCGATGATTATTTTAGCCAAACAGCCTATTATTTTAAGAACTTTATAACTTTTTTCCTTCTGAAATATGAATCAATTTCTCCAACAAACTCTCGATCGACCCATTTTACTGTTTTTCAAGGACAAATACGCAGCCAGCATGTGAAGCATTGTTGTAAACTAAAATTACCCGTTTAACACCTTATTTTTTTATTCATATATAATTAGATTTACATGCCTCTTTCAGTAAATAAAAAAATTTCGCACAATCAGCAGCATGCACATTATGTCTACTGGGTCTGTTGGTTTTCCATATCTTTACTGTGCCTTCTGTAAACTCTTGCAGTGTAGCAGTTTTTTTTCCAAAAACAAAATAGCTCCTAATAGCAGCTTGGTACTCAGGAGTTCTCCTTAACTTCCAGCACTATTTGGATAGCACTTAAAATGGCAACCGGGGAAGAACTTCTGCCATGGTTAAAGGGTCCTTTCCAATCTGAGGTATTCCAGGCAGTCTTAGAATTTTTATTTATTTTTTTTATTTTATTTTTGTTTTTAGAATTAAACCAAAATAGACTGTGGCCTGAACACAAAAGTGTGATGTTTGTTTAGAAGGCAAAGATTCTTTGTTTTAGAGATCTTGTTGGAGTTTTCTAAACCCTGAAATGAAATCCTGATGTGTTCCGCTGTGTTTTTAGAAAAACCATTTAATCCAAGGTGTAATTATTAGTCTGAAATTGTATTAATATTCGTTGTGCATTTGACTTAATTAAATGATAATGAATTTGAAATATTGACCTTGGTTGTTTTATCATGTCACTCCTGGACTACTGTAACTCTTTTTACCAAGGCCTATGGAAGCACTCCCTACATCAGCTTTAAATAGCTCAAAATGAAGCTGCTCATATGCAGGTTAGGAGTGAAAACATTAGCCAGATCTTGGCTGAGTTTCACTGACTCCCAGTGAGTTTTAGGATCCAGTTTAAAATCCTGAAATATAAATCACTTTAGTGTCTCTCCCTCTGTACATCTCAGAGCTCCTGGTCCGTTATGACCCACCCAGGGCTGGAAAATGTTGTTGAGGTCTCTTGAAGAGTATTTCACCCTTGTGATCACCAAGGGGTAGGTGAGCCTTTTCTGTGGTTCCCCCCCGCCTATGGAATGAGCTTCTGCTGACTATTAGATATGCTGAGCCTTGCATGACCATCATGAGGTCAAGGAGTCTTGGAGGTAGGACCCAAAACGGTGGAAAGGAACAGGCTTAGAGGAGTTTTCAGCCAACACTTTAATTCTTTCTGGTGCAGCACATCAATAAACCACACCAACAACAGCACAATGGCAGACATTCCTTTGGAATTGTCATTGGAAGAAACCATTATAAAAGGACACACAGCTGCAAAATAACAAACAAGAATACAGCTGATGAGGCAATACATTTACAAATCAAGAAAAAACTGAAATACTTGAATTAAATTCCAAAGAAATAGTAAAAAAAATAACATAAAAAAACACCATAAATGAGACCTCCCCTCGCCCCTATCAATTCTATAAGTATTTATAATTGAACTTTCCCATTTCAACTCTTTAATATGTGTTTCCCTTTTAGATAGTTTAGCAATTTATCGGATGTTGTAAAGAGAAATCAATGTACCTTTTTACAAAAAGAAAACAAGAAGAAGCCTACAAAAGAAGAACAAATGTACTGCATTCAAAACTTTTTTGTTTACCATGGAGGTCTTTTGTATCATTATTGTCCCTGCCATTGTTTATTTTCTTTTTTATGTTTTGGCATCCTGTATCACGCCTGTCAGTTGTTCAGCACCGAGGGCATTCTGATAATTGTTGTAAAGTGTGCTCTACAAGTAAAGTTGAACTTGAAACTTTTGGTTTCAGACTAAAATTGTTAAAATAAATATTTCTTCTTTTGCTTTAATTTGAATTTTCTACAGGTTGTATTGAAATAATTGATGTGAAATAATACATTCCCTGTGTTTAATGTGACAACTATTAAAATGCCTCAACAGTTTGGCTGCTGTTTTGCGGATTAATGTTGCAGTTAAATTTGACCAAGTCATCTGGGTCAAAGAAGAAATTCAGCAAAACATATCTAATTATACTCTGGAAAAAGAAGTTGGTGTTAATGCGGAATCAAGGTGGAAGGTTTTCACTGTTACACAACAGGAAGGAGAAGTAGAAAACTGACAGTTTTCCTGCTCAGTGAGGAACTGCTTCACACACCGTCACTCAGCAGCATCATGTCCACTACTTTTTTTTAATTTTTTAACATAACTGTGGCAAGCAGGCGGTGTATACAGGAAGGAGAACCTGATACTAGCAATTTCTGATGGACCAATAACGCCACCTTGGGAATTTCACCCAAAGAATTAATTTTAAAGGTAAGATACGTAGATCCGTTCTACCATAGAGAGAGTCAGAGATGTGGTTATAATTTAGAAAAAAACAACAA